CCAATCAATGATTCTCTCACATCATTGGTGCCTCTCTCTCCCTCTTTCTGCCTCTCTGAAAAAAAAAAAAAGATATTTTTAAAGTGGATTTTATTTTATTAGACAGATTTAGGTTCCCAGCAAAACTGAGCAGAAGGTAGAGAGTTCCCATACACCTCTGCCCCTCCACACTCACAGCCTCCCCACTCTCCACCCCCCACTGGGCCAGGCATTTGTTACAACTGACGGGCCTGCCCTGACACATCCTGTCACCCAAAGCCCACCGTTGCCATCAGGGTTCATTCTCATGACTGTGGAGTCCATGGGTTCTGTAAATGTATGACTTGCTGCTCCCCTGGGGGCCGCCATCTTGTAACACCAAAGGCCAACCGCTGATTATATCTTCTAAGAAAGTTACTTAGACCTCCCATGATCCTGCTGTATATACCAATTAGCCAAAAGAGATACTCTTCAAAAATATAATTATAAATTTAATAAAAAGGAGAAATTTGAAAAATTTGAAATCCCTCCAAAACCGGTTTGGCCCAGTGGATAGAGAGAGCATCAGTCTGCAGACTGACTAAAAGGGAAATCAGCTACTGCCTCTCCATTCTCTAGAACCTTCCACCTACCGCCTGTTTCAAGTGTACATCCACTAAAAGAAGTAAACATCAAACAACTATTGTTTCTTCTGCTTGGCAGAAAAAAGAATGACTAGAACTCTTCTATGATTTTTCTTAACTTTTTGTCTTACCACATTCTAGCAAATAATGGAGCCCTAGGCGGTTTGGCTCAGTGGATAGACAGCCTCTCTGTGGACTGAAGGGTTCCATTGCAGTCAAGGGCATGCACTACTTGAGGGCTTAACCCTGGCCCTGGACCAACCGGTTGCCTGGGGGAGGCAACCAATATATGTGTCTCTCTCATGTCAATGTTTTTCTGTCTCTTCCTCTCCCTTCTATACTCTCTCTAAAAATCAATAGAGGGAGTAAGTAAATAAATAACAGTAAATATTAATGAATGTAAAATCAATGGAAAACATAAGCCCGAAGGGAGGATTTGCACATCAACAACAAAAGTTAAAAAGAAGCCAGAACCAGTTTGGCTCTGTGGATAGAGCGTCGGACTGCAGACTGAAGGGTCCAGGGTTTGATTTCGGTCAAGGGCATGTAACGTGGTTACAGGCACATCCCCAATAGGGGGTGTGCAGGAGGCAGCTGATCTATGTTTCTCTCTCATCGAGTTTTCTAACTTTCTAACCCTCTCCCTTCTTCTCAGTAAAAAAAAAAATCAATAGAATATATTTAAAAATAAAAAATAAAAAAGTTAAATAGAAATAAAATAAATTAAAAAGGTGGGGAAAAAATGGAGCTGTGGGGAATTAAGAGCTGGGACCTAGGCCTCCATGGGAAGATTTCCATGGTCACCACCACCATGCATGATAGGAACCCAAGTCATAGTTCTCAATGTCACTCCTGCTCACAGAGGAGGGCACAGGCCCTGAGAGTGACTGGCCTGAGCTCAGGGAATGAGTCTCCCACTTGGAATTTGAACCCAGGCGGGGTGGTCCCCAAACATGCCCACTCGGACTTGTGCAAACTGCCTCTCCCTTCCAGGAAACGCCAGCAGAAGCCCAGCTCAGGTTCCACGGGGTCACGCCTGGGCCTACTGTGTGCTTGGTTCATAGGCCCACATGCGTGTGCTTGGCGGTGAGTTTATACTGCAGACAAATTCCATGATGCCTAGTGGAGGCAGCCTGGGCTTGTGCTGCCCCTTTCAAGGACACCCCCTGACTCCAGGCATCAAAACTCACTTTGGGGCCTTCCTTCTTTGCTGTAAGAGCCTGTTCAGTGCCTCCATCTTCCCTATGTGACTCAGAGTTCCCCAGAGTCAGAGCCTGGCACACACGCTGGGTGATCAGGGGTGGCTGAGGGATGAGTGACTGACAGTAGAAGGATGGGGGTCTAAAGGAGGTCATGCAGGACAAGAGTTCCACATGGCAGCAGTTGGCTGGCCACAACTGGCCTCCTTTGGACCACCAAGAGCGACCCATTCATTCTATGTCTAATGAGCTGTGATTACGTCCTGGCTTCACAGAGCCTTTCATCCAGTAGGCCATAGTGATGTTAGACAAAAACAGAACAGAGAGATATTGGGGGACAGGTTTATGGTTGTCATACAGAAGGCCATTGGGGGTGTGGTTCAGTGAAGGGGTGCCATGGAGACACAGTGTAATGAGAGAAGGAACTTGCTATCTGGGAAGGGTTCTCTGTGGAAGAACCCCAACCTAAGATAAATGTCACCTGGTGGCAGCTGCCATGATGTTGCTATGATGGGATTACCTGTTATTGGCCCACATTTATTTCTGTCCCTGGCTCAAACATCTCAAAGAGCCCACACATCAGCCTTCAGTGCCTTTCAGGTTTGAAAATGTCTAACTCTCTGATCAGGCCAATTTCCCATTAATCAGTCTTACATTTAACTTCCCCACCCAGATTGTGGAGCTAATCCCATCTTCCCCACAGCAGACCCTCCTGGGAGGGACAGAAGATGGAATCTCTCCCTTTGCCCTCTAGGGTGGCACTGTATCTCCTCCAGCATGTCTCTTTTAGTTCCTGAATTCACCCAGAGAAGACTGTTTCCATCTCTCTCCTTTCCAAGAAAAATCCTCCAGCCGAAACTGGTTTGGCTCAGTGGCTAGAGCGTTGGTCTGCAGACTGAAAGGTCCCAGGTTTGATTCCGGTCAAAGGCATGTACATTGGTTGCGGGCACATCCCTGGTGTGGGGTGTGTAGGAGGCAAATGGTCGATGTCTCTCTATCTCTTTGTAGCTCTCTATCTCTCTCCTCTCTCTTCCTCTCTATAAAAAAATCAATAAAATATATTAAAAAATCTTTTCCAAGGCCCAGGGTCATTCACAGGGTCCCATTAGGATGTCCCAGTGACACCCTGCCCAGTCCTAACCCCTGCCTCTCATGGTCCTTGTGACCTGGCCTTGTGACCTCGCAGAGAGAATCCATATCCTCAATTGCCCACTCCTCGCTCCCTGTAGAGCTCATAATCTGCTATGTCCCCTGACAGAAAACCTGAGTGACAACTAGATGCATGGACACTTTTCTTTTGTCCTGGGGATGCCACCTTTGCCTTCTCGGCTAACTTAACTGAGGATGCATCTGGATTACTTTGTTGTGGCCCCAAACTCCCAGCAACCATGCTCTCAGGTTGTGTTTTTTTTCTGTCTAATGGCAAGAACCCATTACACCCTTAAATGTCTCACATGGAGGATGACAACTATGGGCCTTCAGTCAACCTCAGTCAGTGTCAGTGGAAGGAATCAATGAACCAGGCCTCCACCTTGCCCCTCCCTAACTTTCAATTAATCTGGAGAGAGGCAATATCCCGTTAGGATTAAGGGATAGACTTACTAAACCGAGATTGTCACCATTGCGTGGCAGTGGCTTTATCCCTGAGGTGATTCCTCTGAGGCCCTAAATGCATGGAAGGCAGTGCCTGGGCCTGCCTTCAGGCAGAACCCCAGGAGGCCCCGAAGTGGACCTCGGTCTGGGTCCCCATGCAGAGAAATGGGGAGATTGGTTGGACAGCATTTGGGATTATTGGTTGACTGTCTGCCGGGAGTTTCTAATATAAGAGGAGTTTTTATGAAAGGGAATGGCCTTGGGTAAGCCCAGCCATGTCACCAGGAAATCAGTCAACATAGAAGTGCCAGTTAAAGTTTAGATCCTGACCACCCTGTCCAGGTACAGAACCCGGCAAAAATGGAATGAGTATCGCCTACTGGGTGGGGAAACATGGATGCTTGAAGCACAGATGGCTGCTACCTGGGAGCATGTGACCTAGGATGCTCTTGGTGAAGAATTTGAAGAACTTGATCTTCCGTGGAAGAACCTCTTCCCTTTGATAAACATCGCCTGGTGACAACTGCCATGATGTTGACAGGATTACATGCTATAGGCCCAGGTTTATTTCTGTCTCTGGTTCCAAGAGCCCAAAGCATTCCACCCTCAATGCCCTTTGGTCTTGAAAATGTCAAAACTCCCAGGGCCGGCCCCTCCTTCCTCTGCTCCCATTCTTAGATTTAATCTTCCCCACCCAGTTTGCTGAGCTAATCCCATCTTCCCCAGAGCAGACCCACCCTTTTCCTCCTGGGCGGGACAGAAGATGGAATCTCTCCCTTTGCCCTTTAGGATGGCACTGCCTCCCCTCCAGCTTGCTTCCTTTTAGATCCTGAATTCAGACAGCAGAAGAGACATTCATTTTCCTCCCTCTCTGCAGTCAGTGAAGTGGTTCTCACCAGGTCTGAGATCTGAGCCCCAGTCAACCTGATCATATCAGGTAAATTATCGGCCTCAGCTAAGGAAGCTGGCCTCACGTCGGCACAGAGAGCTTTCCTTGTTTTCTTCTTCTTCTTCTTCTTCTTCTTCTTCTTCTTCTTCTTCTTCTTCTTCTTCTTCTTCTTCCTCTTCTTCTTCCTCTTCCAGACAAACAGATTGAATGCACTGATTTTGCCTCTAAGTGTAGTTTTGCCTGAATTTCAAACATTTGGATTTGTGCTTTGGTCTATTTATAAATGTGTAACCAAGCTGATTCCCTGATGCTCTTCTTCCCCCAACCCCTAATGAAAACATCTAACTGTGGTTTTATTCCTAGAAATTTTAAATATTAACTTTGTGTCCCTTGCTTGATCTGAAAATTTCCCCAAAAACAGTGGGGGTCAGCTTTCAGGCCCTTCGGTACCCACTTCCCAGGCAGACTGGAATGAGAGATGTGGGTGCTTCTGAGATACTTGTCCTGGGGCCTGCAGGGGAGCTATGGCTCTGTGGTCACCTAGCCCGGAATGGGACTCTCTAAACAGAGGCTCTCACCATTGCCAGGCAGTGGCTTTGGCCCTGAGTCCATTCCTGTGAAAATGGGGAGTCAGAGGATGGGGCTCAAAGGCTTGGCCTGACGAGGATGTCTTGTACCCTGGATTTTCCCACAGGATTCCTTTGGAGCACCTTGGGGATGAGCATCAGGACCCCACCCACACTCCTGCAGCTGGCAGGAAAACGCCTGCTGAGAGACCAGGCCTTGGCCATCGCAGCTCTGGAGTACCTGCCTGCCGAGCTCTTCCCACAACTGTTCATCCTGGCCTACCGTCGTAGACGCCACAAGGAGTCCCTGAAGGCGATGGCACAAGCTTGGCCCTTCACTGTCCTCCCTCTGGGGGGATTGAGGCATCGACTTCGAGTTAATATCTTAAAAACTGTGTTGGATGGGCTTGATGTTCTGCTTGCCCAGGAGGTTTGCCCCAGGTAAGACTGCTCCCGGTGCCTGGTAGGGTCCTGGCCATCCCTGAGACAAAGAGGGCCAGGGCATGTGGAGGGCTTAATGGGCACCCGAGTTTTCTGAAGGTGCCAGTGAGGCTCAGGGAGCCCTGGCACCCTGCTGAGCTCACTGGGGAGTGCAGCACTGCCTACTGGGCAGAGGCACCTCCAAACTGTGCCCTGCCTCCTCCCAGTGGTAGTTAAAGGTACAGGAAGTGCAGAGCAGAAGGGATGGGAGGAGATGAACATAGGAAGACGCTGACCTTGAGAATCAAAGTGAAGGTCAGGATGGGAGTAGAGTCTGGTTGTTGCCTCAACTCAGATGCTCATTCTCATTCTGGCCTGCCCTGGTTCTGTTGATCTTTTTTAAATACCATTTTTTTTTTTCTTGATTTCAGAGAGGAATGGAGAGATAAAGATAGAATCCTCAATGATGAGAGAGAATCATTGATTGACAGCCTCCTGCACATACACAAACACACACATCTCACATACTGGGCATCAAGCTTGCAACCCAGGCATGTATCCTGACCAGGGATTGAACTGTGACCTCCTGGTTCAAAGGTAGATGCTCAACCACTGAGACACACTGTCCATACAGAATCTTATCCAACATCCTGATGACATGAAAGAATCTCTGCTAATGTCTTGCTTTCCCCACAGGAGGTGGAAACTGCGGGTGTTGGATTTAAGGAACCTGGGTGCAGACTTCTGGAGAATGTGGTGTGGAGACAGCACCCAAGAGCCCCCACCGATTTGTCCAGTGGATGTGCACAGGTCCAGCCCCAACATAGAGCACCCCTTAACTCCCGTGGAGGTGTTCCTAGACCTTAACTTCAAGGAAAGGGACAGAGATGAGTTTTTCATGTACGTCATCCAATGGGCCCAGCAGAGGGAAGGGCTGGTACACCTGTGCTGCAAGACACTGAGGATTGCTGCGGTGCCCTTCCAGAGGGTGAGGCAGGTCCTGGATGCGGTGCAGTTGGTCTGTATCCAGGAGGTGGAACTGAAGTGCACCTGGGACCTGCCCACACTGAGGATGTTTGCTCTTTACCTGGGGCAGATGAGGAACCTGCAGAAACTCTCTCTCTCCCACATCCATATATTGGGTGAGGAGGAAGAGGTGGAAGAACAGGAGGAAGATGTCCAAGAGTGGGAGGAGCAAGAGTTGGTGGAGGTAGAGGAGCAGGAATGGGAGGAGGAAGAGGAGCAGGAATGGGAGGAGGAAGAGGAGCAGGAATGGGAGGAGGAAGAGCAGCAGGCATTGGAGGAAGAAGAGTGGGTGAGGGAGGAGCAGATATCCTTTTCCCAATTCATCTCTCAGATGCTCAGCCCACTGCACCTCCGAGAACTGGACCTGGATTCCCCCTCCTTCCTCCGAGGCCGTCTGCACCAGATGCTCAGGTGAGTTGTTTAGCAGTGGACACAGTCTTAGAATGTAAAAGAAGTGGTCTTGTTGGTGACATCCCATGAGCACCCAAAGGAAGCAGTTTTGAAATCAGCCTGTCAGGAGGGTTAACAGAACTGGCTCAGTGAGGGACCCAGCCAGCCTGGGTGTGTATTCTGCCTTGGGGAGAGATGTCCAAGTGATGAGGCTTTAGAAAGAAGATTGGGAGGAGGCAAAGCCACATCAGATGGAGCATTTGAGACGTAAGCTCTGTACCCACCAGCCCCGTGAACACACGTGAGCCTGTCTCAGATTCGTCATCTGTCAGAGGTGGTCCTGGGTACCAGGAAGGTCATTAATAGAAAGGACAGGCATGCTTTCACAGCTAATGGAGTGGGAGTGGAGAGGACTGCAGAGTGACCAGTGGTTTGCGGTGATGTATGGATGGAAGTGCCTTCTGCACACTGGCCTCCCCAGTTTGATGTTGAAGAATCTTCCTCTGGTTTACCCCCCCCCCCCTTTTTTTTAATCTTCAAAGGAGGATATATTTATTTTATTTCATTTCATTTATTTATTTATTTTACTGAAAACAAGAAGAGTTTTTTTGCGTATCTTTCTTATATAGTAGTGCTGCTTTGAAAATAAAGTGGAGAGAAAGCGGAGGGAAAGCGCTTGATAAACCAAAAGAGCACATACTAAGAGAGTGTGACTCCCCCAACTGCTGCTGGGGTCCGGCTCATATAGAAGCAGAGTAGGTTTCTTTGCTTCCCAGGCCCCCCTGTGAGCTAGCATTGGCCCACCTGCAGAGTAAAGCTTTTTGCTTCCTATGAGCTCTTTGCTTTTCAGATTCTTGCCATTAGCTGGTATCCATTGGTGTAGTTGCAGAACAAGAGCTCTTTGGGAAGTGCCTAAAGAGAATTTTTAAACTTAATCTAGGAATGGCTTAAAAATAATAATTGAAGACCATTTCCATCCATCTAACAGGGTCAGCCTGTCTCAAAACTTCTTGCTAGGCCCTAGCTGGTTTGGCTCGGTAGATAGAGTGTCAGCCTGCAGACTGAAGGGTCCCAGGTTCGATTTCAGTCAAGGGCACATCCTCAGTAGGGGGCATGCAGGAGGCAGCCAGTCAATGATTCTCTCTCATCATCGATGTTTCTATCTCCCTCCCCCTTCTTCTCTGAAATCGATCAAAATATTTAAAAACAAACAAACAAAACATTTTTCTGGCTTGGTTCTCAATTAGGTCCGTTATGTATAAATGAGGTATTCAGATTGTGTGATTCTGATTGGACAGGGCAGGTCTCAGTCCATTGGTAGAAAAACAAAGCCAGGGTTGTTGTTGTTTGCAGTGGTTGACTCAGCCTATGTACCCCGTTTCCCCGAAAATAAGACAGTGTCTTATATTAATTTTTGCTCCCAAAGATGCGGTAGGTCTTATTTTCAGGGGATGTCTTATTTTTCTAGGAAGAAGAATACTATACACATTTATTGTTAAATGAAAATAAAGGAAATTTATTACCTGTATACAGTACGGGAGTACGGTAGTTGTCAACAAAAACCAGACAAACTGTGAATCCTACAGTATCAAGAATTTACTCATTTATTCAATGACAATCATGTCGTCATCTTCTGGAACATCATCATAACAATTCAATTTCTGAATTTCCTGGTGAATTTCTTGTGACTCCATTTCTTTCCGAATCAGTGGACCAAATCTCTCATGTTTAGCCTAGGAGGGCCTTATTTTCGGGGGGATGCCTTATATTTCACTCAGAAGGAAATCTGTAAGTAGGTCTTATTTTCAGGGAAACACGGTAAATAGGCATGGCTGACTGTAAGTAGCCCAGAGTTCAGTCTGAGGCTCTTCCTGGTAAACAGAACTCCTGAAGCTCCTTTGAGTAACTTACAGCCAGGCTCTTATTATTTATAAAATTTGAGCCCTTTGTTGACTTTTGAGAGTCCATTTCAGCAGATAAATTCTTTCTTAGGATTCACATCAAATGAATCTTTTTTCTTGCGGTTCACATTAGCTCTAAATCAGGGTTTCCTATGACATCCTCAGTTTTGCTAAAGGAGGATATATTTTACCATTGATTTTTAGAGAGTGGAATGGAAGGGGAGAGAGAGAAGAGAAATACATAGTGAGAGAGAGATGACTGGTTGTCCTCAGCACATGCCCCAACCTGGATCAGGCATTGAACCTGCAAATGATTTCTGTGCCTTTGACCATGAATTACATGTGAGACTCTTGGGTCCAAAAGGGAAAGTACTATCCACTGATTCAAACCAACTAGGGCCAGGGTGTTCCCTCTGAGTTAGATGAATGAGCCTCATGTGGCTCAGATGTCTAGTGTGTGGAGCCAAGCAGTGGACAGAAGGAAATCTGAGTTGACAGCACTCTTGGTTTTGTCTCCCAATCATAAGGTGCAGGGATGCCCACCCGTGACCTAGACCAGTGGTCTGCAAACTCATTAGTCAACAGAGCCAAATATCAACATTACAGCGATTGGAATTTCTTTTGAGAGCTAATTTTCTTAAACTTCAACTTCTTCTAGTGCCACTTCTGTAAAACAGGTTAGCCCAGTCCATGGTATTTTGTGGAACAGCCACACTCAAGGGGCCAAAAAAGTGCATGTGGCTCTCGAGCTGCAGTTTGGCGACCACGGACCTAGACGCTGTCAGGCTCTCTGAGCAGGTTCCAACAGTTTCCCTTATGTCCAGGCACCCTCCAGAGAGCAGTGCTCTGCTTGGCAGCTAAGGAAAGGAAGATCCGGAAAAGTGACCTTGACCCAGCCTAAAAGGACTCTGGGCTTCCTGGGTGTTTCCCTTCATTAGATTGTCAGGACAACCTTGGGCTTGGACAAATCGGTCTTCTCTCACTTGGAGGCCCCCTCTACCTGCCACCCCGTTTCCAGGAACTAACTGCTCTGTGTCTCCCCAGGTGCCTGAAGACCCCCTTGGAAAAATTCACCATAAGTCATTGCCGGTGCCTGACCAATTTAGACCTGACACACCTGTTCCTGAGCCCGCACCTCAGGCAACTGAAATCCCTGACTCTGTATTGTGCCAGCCTCGCTGATTTTAGTCCCGTGTTCCTCCGAGCTCTGCTGGAGGCAGTGACACCCCCCCTCCAGGCCCTGAGCCTCGATAAGTGTGCCATGGTGGACTCCCAAGTTGAGGCCATCCTGCCTGTCCTGAGCCGCTGTCACCAGCTCAGTTTCTTCACCATCACTCAGAACCGCCTGTCCTTGGCCACCGTGGGGAAGCTGCTGCGCCACACAGCCGGGCTGCGCAGCTTAGAGCTGGAGTTGTACCCCGTCCCCCTGGAGTGTTACACGACCCAGGGCACTGTCAACATGGAGAGACTTGCCCTGGTCCGGGCTGAGCTGACAGGAATACTGAGGGAGTTAGGAAAGAGCAGGATGATCCTGCTTGTCAACAAGCACCGTGGCTACCCGGAATATTATGATGTGGAATTTTCATGCCAGCTAGACTGTTCTGTGCCCCTGTAATGACCCTGCTCAGTGGGAGCACCTGAGCTTTCTGGGTCTTTCAAAGCTGAAACCTCGGACCGGGTGCATTATACAGGGGCCACCTGAATAATGGTTCAAGCTCAGTGTAAATGGGGAAAGGGAGGGACACAGTCTGGGTACAGGATTGCAGGGTGAAAATTGGGGAGTTCATGGGACCTCAAAGGCAATGTGTCCTACAAGCAGAAACATGAATCTCATTTGTGTGGGGAGGGGGCAGAATTGGGGCTTGATCTTCTTGTGTGGGAGTGAATCCTGGGGTGGATGATTGTAAAGGAATGATGAAAAATAAAGACAATTTTCAAAGACAACCTTCTGGTTCTCTTGCATGTCTCCCCAGTTGACACCTCAGGATCCTGCAGTAACTGATGGAGAGGGGGGTGTGGGGGGGGGAAGGATGAGGAGAGCTCAGGATCAGAACCTGGAACTGCTGGGATGCGGTTCGGCTGCAGGGCTCAGCTCCATGTTATCCCTCCCTCCAGGCCTTCTCTTCTCTCTGGGCATCTCTGACTTCCTTGTGGCTGCTCAGTGGGTGGATACATTGGGACATGCTAGGTGGCCCACCAACCCCTGAGGTGAAGGGGACCTCTCTGCTGGCTCTAACCCTGGACGTGTTCCTCAGAGGCCTCCAGGTGGACACAAAAGTCTCAGGGCTTGTGCAAGGAGGGGTTCAGGAACAAACCAGATCCCTCAGCTCCCCAAACCGCCGGGTCTTCCAGCCCCATGCCTGTCAGCCTGGTGTGGAGGAAATAACCTGCCTTTGGCCAGGAAAACCATCCAAATTCGTTTGAGCAAAATACTAAATTATTCAGGGGCATACCACTTTTTCCTAGTATTTCTTCACCACATAAAATAGAACCCAGGGGGCAGGTCATGTCCATGGGGGGTTGGCTTATACCCATTACACCTCCCATCTCTCTATGGAGCTAGACCAGAGAGCATTTTTAAAAAAATATATTTTATTGATTTTTTACAGAGAGGAAGAGAGAGGGATAGAGAGTTAGAAACATCAATGAAAGAGAGTCACCGATCAGCTGCCTCTTGCACACCCCCTACTGGGGATATGCCCGCAACCAAGGTACATGCCCTTGACCGGAATCGAACCCAGGACCCTTCAGTCCCCAAGCTGACGCTCTATCCATTGAGCAAAACCGGTCTTGGCCAGAGAGCATGTTTTGTAACCAGCCTGTCAGGAAGGGGAGCAGACACACTGCACAAATGAGTGAGCTCCTTCTTTGTGCTCAGTTGCTGTATTAGGCAGGGTTCCCCGGAAGAGCCAGCAGGGACACATGGATGCAGGTAGGAGATTTACAGGGATGGGCTCCAGCCTTCAGTCCCAATGCCTGTTCTCTGCAAGCTGGAGAACCTACAAAGCCAATGGAAGAGCTCAGGCCAAGTCCAAAGGCCTGAGAACCAGGGGAGCCCATGGCGGAACCCCCAGTGTGAGCCCATAGGCCTGAGAATAGAGAGCGGCTGGTGCACACCCTGGAGTTTGATGCCCTGACAACTAGGAATCTCCCGTGAGGTGTACAGGAGGCAGTCAATCAATGATTCACTCTCATCCGTAATGTTTTCATCTCTATCTTCCTCTCCCTTCTTCTGTGAGATCAATACAAATATTTTTAAAATTTGATTTTATTTTTTAGAGCATTTTTTAGGTTCACAGCTAAATTGAGCAGAAGGTAAAGAGAGCTCCCCCAAACCAGTGTTCCTCCCCACTCAAATCCTCCCCACTCTCCACACCCACCACTGGGCAGTGTGTGTGTGTGTATATACATATTTTTTTTATTGATTTTTTTTACAGAGAGGAAGAGAGAGGGATAGAGAGTTAGAAACATCGATGAGAGAGAAACATCGATCAGCTGCCTCTTGTACACCCCCTACTGGGATGTGCCCGCAACCAAGGTACATGCCCTTGACCAGAATAGAACCTGGGACCTTTCAGTCTGCAGGCAGACGCTCTATCCACTGAGCCAAACTGGTTTCGGCAGGCAGTATATTTGTTACAACTGTTGGACCTGCATTGACAGAGCCATGTCACCCAGAGTAATAAACGGTGATGGACGGAGACTCGGTTGGGTGGAGGGCACACTATATGGTGTACAGGTGATGTGTTGTAGATTTGTGCACCTGAAACCTATGTTGTAGAGGGCACCTTGGGAATGCACATGGATGACCTTTAAATTAATGTCAGCAGGGTCCGAGGTGACTGGTGTGGCAGTCCTCTGAAACAGCCTCCCAAAAAGTCGGAGACTGTTATCAGTACCAATTTCTTATCTTTATCCATGTGCTTGGAATGAGGAACGAATAAGACCTTGACTTACCCAGGTCTTGATATGCTAAATCCCAGGAATGAGGGAAATAGGACCTGGGCACACCCAAAACTCCTTTGACCTTAACCCCACCCCCCATCTGGAAATCAATAAATGTGTTGTGTTGTCTGTGGTGGGTGTTGACTGTCCCTCCATCAGAGTGACAGCCCCCACCCGGCACCCAGCTTGATGAATCTATTTCTGCCTCTTGTCTTTTTCTTTTATTTTTTAATCCCCAGCTGCTCCACTCAGGAACCTGTTCTTCTCCCTTTCCGTGTGGGACACGGAGAAAGGAGAAGCATCCCGCTGCACTATGTAATTTTGTTAGCCAGTAAATTCAATCAATAAAAAATCAATAAATAGATCAAGTCAATAAATACAAATGAAACAAAGAAAACGGGGCCATTAAGAACGTAAAGTTGTTATAAAAGACCAAGCACAAATAAAATGTCTATCAATTCTACAAATAAAAAAGGCTAATGGAATTTTGATTGGGATCAAATTAGTAGATTGGTGGAAATCGACACCTTAACCATATCAAAGCCTTTCAATGTCTCTCCCTTTATGTAGGTCCTTCATAACTTCTGTCAGCCCTTTTATAGCTTTTAATGTATGGGTCTTGACCACATTTTATTACATTTATGCCTAAGTATGTCAGCTTTTGGATGCCGCTGTGTGGGGAGCTGCCCTGAAAGCAGGGGTCTCACTTGTTGAGACATAGCTCTCTTTTCCTCCCTCGCTGCAGCCGCCACCTCCAGCTACTCTGAACAACTCCTGGAGGGAATAGACACCAGGTGGGCGGAGGCAGGGCTCCCGTGGAGGCGTTTTCATCTCACAGTCCACTCTGTTCCACTGGGAAAAGCGCTTGCCTCCTGAGAAGGTGCCGTGGGGGAGCTGGTGACCCTCCATTGCAATAAGACTCCCTGACCTTTCTGAGAAGCTCTTGCTGATTTTAAAATTATAACTTAAGAGGTGACACACACACAAGGACCAAGCGGTCCACAAAATATTTTCTTTAAAAGATTTTACAATGTGCTGTAATCATTAATTACATTAAACTTAAATGGCCAATTGAGACAAACAGTTCTGAGACCGTTCCTCCAGCACTGATGAAGACTGGGGGGAGGCAGGGGTCTGAAATAAGATTCATTTAGTTTCTGAGCTTGCTGGGCAGCCTTGGTGACTTTGCCAGCTCAAGCTTCCTTCTTGTAAATAGTTAATTTTAGAATTTGGTCTCTGCTTTTAGCTTTTTGGATGACCACAATTGTTATAATTTTATACCTTTAAATTAATAAACACAGACATAAATTTTGTTAGGTGGGCCGATTTTCCTCTGGCAGAATGCAAAGCACCCCTGGGAAAAATGAATCCCGGTGGCCACTCGGGGCAGTTTGCTAGCCATCAGAACACTCAGCTTTAAACAAATTAAAGGTTTCTTTCTTTCTCGTTTTTTCTTTTTCTTTTTCACAGATTTTCACACTTATATGAACAAATAATTATACCTAAGCAGACAAACAAAATATCAAACAAACATCTGTACTTATACCCTTTCAGTAAACAAGTAACATTACAGTGTTTCAGTAAAATAGAAATGGCACTCATGTTGGACAAAGGAAAGAAGACTAATCCTCTAAGAACTATGAGGGGAAAGTTATCCTACAGACCGGCGTTGACCTGGGAAAAAGAGTGGTTAAATCAAAAGTATTAACATCATAGTTGTTCGCCCGTTTCTTGAAGTCCTGGAAATTTTTAAACAGCATTGTAGAAGGGAACACAGAGAAACAGACAAATCTTGACCCATTTTGACAGAGACCAAAACACAAAACACAAAACAAATAGGCCTGACACAAACATGACAAAACACAAGACAACCCGTCCGGACACCTGGGGCGGAGGACACCGTGGTGTCCTCCGGCCAGAGCCTGGAGGTTAAGCTGCGTCCAGCCCTCCAAGGACTCTTACCCTTTTCCAGGTTTCTAAGTCTACAGTTCCTTCCTCTGGGAACCAGGGGCAGACTTCTACAAAGCTTAAAAAGTTCTCCAACTGTTTCTGCCCTGCTTTCACAATTCTAGAACGAAGCATACTCTTAAGAACTTGCATGAACAGTACTCGGCTATTTCCTTGCCCCATATTTCTTACTCCCGACTATTACACTCCTTGCCCTAGTCCTACCTTATTCTGGACGTGTCCTCTTTGCTCCTCCAGTAGTGTCCTCTACCTTCGTCCCAGGTTTTCAGGTCCCTGTTTTGGGCGCCACCTGCTGGAACCTGCCAGCAACGAACAGTACCTGAATGAGGTGAGGATGAGAAAAAAGACAGACAAGAAAAGATGGGGTTGGGAGGACTGAGACCGAGGTCTGCAGACCCGAGTTTATTCCAAACTGTATATTTAAGCACACACAGCAATCTAGGCAAAAGCAGTAAGTTCCTTGTTTACGCAAGATACATATGTGTCACTAAGTCTATTGACTGTTCTTTAACCAGGTCAAGTAAACGTCAAGGCTAGCAATGCCTGCAATCCTTGTGCTGCAAGTCAAAACAATTCCTGATAACTGCAAACAGCAGTAGTTTCCCACTGCCTGCTGTGCAGCGAGGGAGGAAAAGAGAACTATGTCTCAACAAGGGAGACCCCTGCTTTCAGGGCAGCTCCCCACACCGCTGCAAATGGAAT